TGCGAGGAGATCGCCATCATCCCCAGCAAGAAGCTGCGCAACAAGATCGCAGGGTGAGGGACGGGGGGGAGCGGAGGGGTGGCAGCGCCCACCGCCACCTGCATTCGAAAGTGATCGCGGCCTCTTCCGTGGCCCGGTCATCGATAGTGCAGGGAGAGGAACGGCGAGAGCCTTCCCGTGTTTGGGGGGGGGCGGAAAAAACCTGGTGCTGTCGGACATTGCTTATCCGTGAGCTGCTTCGAGGGTGGTGGGACATTGCTGGGGTCGGTGGTGGGACAACGCAAGGGCTGGGGTTGGGACATCCCTTGGGCTGCTGGTGGGACATCAGAGGATCGTTATGGTTAGAAAAGACCTTTGAGGTCATCAGCCGTTAATTCGCACTACCGTGCCCACTTTTGAACCCATGTCCCTGAGAGCAGTAAGTTCACCCCTCAGTCTCCTTTTCTTCAGACATCATCGGGGTCGCTGGCAGGGGCTCCGTCTCCTCAGCCTGCCCTGATTTTGGGAGCGCAAGGGTGGAGGTGCGGGCTCTGGGAGCGTGGGGAAGCCCTGGATGGTCTGGTGTCCCCCTGCAGGTACGTCACCCACCTGATGAAGCGCATCCAGAGGGGACCTGTACGAGGCATTTCCATCAAACTACAGGAGGAAGAGAGGGAGAGGAGGGACAACTACGTCCCCGAGGTAAGCTCTGGCTGCGCTCGAGTACCGGCTTCAGCGTCTGTCCGTCGTGCCTCAAGGTGTCTTCTCCATCAGTGGCCTCGAATTTCTTTAAAACAGAACCTGAAGAAGCTGAGGAGGGTTTGGGTCAAGGAGGTTGAGGCAGATTTTGACCTTGTATCGGGGCACTCCCCCCAAAACCACTGCCTGGGATGGGCGGAGCAGCTGAGTTCTTGCCTGTCAACTCTGCTGATAGTCAGCGGATGATGTCATCCCTCAATTTTCCTAACTTAAAATGAGGAAGAATACAACGTGGTGAGATACAGGGAGATATTTCAGAGTGGCTTAAAACTTGATGTGCCATGGACGTCACCAAAGAGAGGGAGTTGGTGAAACCCCTCTTGTCTTGACCTGGTGTTCGCAAGGAGCTGAGGTCCCCCTCCGTGACCCAGTCACTAGTGGTGCAGGGAGAGGAGCTCCAGAGGCCTCTCCCGTGTTTGGGTGCGATCTTGTCCCTCCCAAACCCCGTGGCCTTCAGTCACAGCGCTGCTCGCCCCCCTGCCAGTGTCTGGTAGAGCTGCAGCTGCTGTGCTGCACAAAACTGCTCAGTGCCTTGGCTCTCCCAAATTGGCAGTGCTGGGGTTTGGCTGTTTTGGGTGTTTATTTGGTTGTTTCAGCAGTGGTAGGTTGTCATAGGAGCTGTGACAGTGCGGAGGGGGCTGGTGCTGTCTCCCCCTTCTTTGGGATGTACCTCAGGAGTGGCCTCGCTGCTTCGCCCTGGTTTCACAGCCCAGCAGCACAGCTCTTCATGAGAGACCAGGGCACTCATGAAGTATAGAAGGGGCAGCTCCCTGCAGGTCTTCTCACAGATGCCCCAGCACCCCAGATTTTAGATATCAGCACAGAACTGGCATCAGGGACTCGAAAGCATCAGGTGGTTGTCCCTGTGTGTTACGTAGTGACCTTCACGCTACGTTTAGAGGCAGGATGAGGTGGTGCTGGTGGGAGAAGCCACCCTGAGCAGGGGAGCGTCCATGCAGTAGCAGTTGATACAGCATAAGCTGGCTGTTAGTGATGGTTTCTTACCAAAATACCCGTGTGACATCACCGTTTGGGGAAGGAAGCGTGTGGAGACGAAGGTTTGGGGTCTGTAGAGGGTTGGAGGAGGTTGCTCTGGGATAGAAGAGTAGGACATCTTGGGGCCTGGAGGTGGGCCTGCCCAGGTAGCCACTCAGCATTGCTGTTGGGCTCCAGCCTGGGGGATTTGCATCGTAGGGCAAGTGCAGGTGGTGGTCGCCAGGACCAGTGTGGTTGTGGACCCAGCACTGGCTCCTTGGCAGTGTTGGTTGGCATGAAGCTGTTGGGGCCTTGGGTTTCTCAAGACTTGTTTAAAACCCACTCTTCTGCCAGGTGGCATCTCACGGTGTTTTGGGAGAACCGGACACCTTTGGGGTCCTCCTGGCTCATTCTGAAGCCACAATGGGCAGAGAGATCTTGTTTGCGGTGGGATGGGACCATAGTGGGTGGGTGGGGACACCCCGGTGGCAGCAGGGACATGGCTGTGGGGCCTTGTCAAACTGGGTCCGTCTCTCCTCTGTCTCCAGGTCTCTGCCCTTGACCAGGAAATCATCGAAGTGGACCCAGACACCAAGGAAATGCTGAAGCTCCTGGTGAGTGGCCCCAGCCGTGTCCCCTGCCAGGCTGGTGGCACATCCCCAGCAGTGCTCCCGCAGCCCTGAGGGGCGTGGTGGTGTCAGCTGAAGGCTTTGGCGCTCTGTGCACATGGTGGGGGTCCCTGGAACCTGCAGGTGGATTAATTCCAGGATTTGGGAGGGGAGAGGCCGGGTGGGTGTGCTCACTGCCCACCGTGGTGGAGCACCCTAGAGTGCTGACCCAAGTGTCTCCTCATCAGCTCTCACTGGGTGGAGGTGAAGGTGGGTTCACCCATAAAAAGACCAGATTTCCCCCACCGATCTCCACAGTGGAGCGGTCGTCTCCCCTTCTGGAGACACAAGTCCACCACGAGGAATCTGCCTGTACCCTCGGTGGGGTCAGCTGCAGGTGGCGGGCAGGGCGATGTGACCGATCCCCATCCCGTGCTGTTTTCCAGGACTTCGGCAGCCTGTCCAACCTGCAGGTGACACAGCCCACAGTGGGGATGAACTTCAAGACGCCCCGAGGAGCGCTCTGAGTCAAGTGCTCAATGTCGCTTTTCCAATAAATGTGGCGAACCCATCTGGGCCTGCCTGGTCTTTGGCATCCTGTGTTCCCCAGGATGGGGAGGGAGGGCTGGTTCCTTGGGGTGCCGTGTACCACATCAGGTGTCCAAGGCTTCAGAAGGTGAGGAGGACTCGACACCTTTGTGTTCGCTACCATCTTTTGGGGTTCCTTCCTGGCTGTTCGGGGTGGGTCATGCAAAGCTGTTACTTTACAGACTCTCCTGCAGCCAGGAGAGGGCAGCTGCAGTGGCTCCTCAGAACTTGCTGGAGCTCCTCACTCTCAGCATCTCCCCCGTTTGCCTCAGTAGACGGCTCGGGGGTTGCTGTACCAGGAGCAAAGGTACTTTTTGTAACGGTGTTGGTCACTTTTAAGTGGTTAAATGAGAAAGTCGGGTTTTCCTTCTGTCAGGGGAGTGACCTGGGCTGAGTAGAGGACTCGGGGGGCACGGACACTGCCCTATGGAGATGCAGTGCGGTGAGCTTTGTGCAAGATGTTCCCTCCAGCAGTTGCATGCAGCAGGGATGGGAGAATTTTGGGGCTCTCCCTTGCCCCCAAAACTCTCCTGCTGTGCAGGGGCTCTTGGAGGCAGAGGAGACCTCCAGGTCCTGCCTTGGCTAATGGCATCCTCCAGCATCAAACCCTTGGTGAGAGTCTGAGGTTTTCCCTCCATGCCTCATGTGACTGGCTCCAGTGCAGCGTGGGGTTTGAAGTTGTGTGCCCAAAACGTCTGCAAACCTATGGAGCTCCCCATCTACCCCATATGGCACTGGGTCCCCTGGTGAGTGTGTACCAGGGGTGGGTGCAGCTGTGCTGTGGTGTGACTCCTCCCTGCAAGGAGACCTCAGTGTGTTCCTCCAAGGAAGACTGACTGCGGTTTGAATCCACCAGAACAAACAAAAAGACAAAGTATTTGTGTTTTGTGGAAGAATATCTATATTTAAGCTTGCTGTGAAATTTGTTTGAAATAGTTACTTGAAGAAGAAAATGTTTACATTAAAGGTAGCCAGGTCTTTAAGCATACACTAAGTGCACTGAGCTGCAGTTGGGATAAACCAAGCAGGGATAATTTATAAACGCGCTGGAGATTTAACCCAGATTTTGCAGCTAGATACCACCAATCTCTTCACAATTTACAGAGGGAGAATGCAAACTGACAAAATAACCATTGATCTGCAGAAGAGAGCGAGCAAGGAAGCATCCTAGCACCTGGCTGTGGGAATGAATTTCCAAATGCGACCAAAAGTGCTCCAGCGGCCAAGTTTCTGAGGTGAACGGCCACCCATTACTTAAAATTTTCTCTTTATCTTTTCTGACGTCTTCACATCAGAGTAAATGTGAATTTCGTTCTGGACCCAATACGCCGCATAGCCTGAGGTGCCGGGAGTGAAATCGCAGAGCTCTCCGATGTATTTCTTCATGTCGCGAGCGGAGGTGTAACCTAAAGGGAAGGTGCAGGTCTCAGTGGGGCAGCTGCCCTCTCCTCCCAAATGCAAAGCGCAGAGAGGGACAGGAGTGATTCTGGTTGTGCACTCAGCATTTTCGCTGCTGTAAGCACTGGGAGCGCATGAGGGGCTCCTGCCTCATCCGCAGGCATTTTCAGGTGTATTTTCTACCTAAAAATCTACTGACGCTGAACGTTACCTGTCACCATGTTATTCATCGGGTATTCCTGGAGGGCACGGTATGGAAATTCCCCCTGGGTGGGAGCTCTGGAGCCAGTTTCTTCTTCACTGCTGTATCGGGCAGGGAAAAGAGAACTGCGTTATTTTCTATACAATTGGGGATCTCTTGGAATTTGAGGGAGGCTGCGTCTAAATCCTACTGCCGAGGGTGGGGAGAGTACCTTTCAGCCAGGTCTAGCACATCCTCCCCCAGTTCTTCAAAACTTTTCCTTGCTGTCTCCAGTTCATCCAGCAGATTTTCGTTGGACTGCAAGTATCAACACAGAGCTGAGTTAAAACTGTGCCCTGGGTCCTCCACAAAACGCTAGAGATGTGGTCCAAGAGAGCGGCATTTTTAGGACTTGTGATTTCAGGCATAATTTAGAATAAAGTTTTAAATCTAAATGGCGTTTTTGCTTCAAAAGTACTGAGACATTGCTTTGTGAAGAGAGCAGGCAATGTCTCAGAGCTGCACGGAGGAGGAAAACGCCACACAAAAGGGCTGAGCTCAGACCTCAGCCATTGGCATCCCCGGAAGGATGCACTGGGGAGACTGGACGTCTGTCCAGGTGAGGGAGAAAACCCCTCCTGCGCGTCCAGCGTCAATCTTGTGCTGACCTCTGTGCCATGTCACACCGGGAGGGACACAGCACAGCAAGGACAAGAATATTTGATCTCATATTTGGGCTGAGGGATATAACTGATATTTCTTTAAAAAACTGCACCTCCTTTATTACCTATTTCTCATCTCACCTTTTCTGCAAGGGAATCATCCGCCTGCTCCCAGATGAAATGACCGATTTTCCTTCTGATTTCTGCCGTGAACAAAAAAAATAAATGACTGAGTGAGCAGCAAATAATGAGCCTGCGCAAGCCCCCCCTGCCTCTCACCGGTGCTAGCAAAGGCACTCAGCAGCCCTGGCAGGAGCTCACTGCATGGCGCTGCTCGTTATTGCTATATAAAAGAATTAAAATATTAAAATAATAATAATATTATAATAATAAAATAATATAATAATTCCTCTGCCTCCGGGCAGGAAGAATCACTCCCAGCAGAAGGAAATTCCCTCCGCCTAGAACAGAAGTACCTGGAGGTTTTTGTTTGCACCCCCAAAAGGCTCTGGTCACAGGTGAGCCCCCAAGGGACCCAACTCTGATGTTTTGGGTTTTTTCCCTCTGACCTTCTTGCAGGCAGGCAGGTGGCAAGACAAAGTGGCCCAGAGCTGTGGTTGGCTTCGCTCTGGTGTCAGTGCTGGCCCACGCTGAGAGGTAACGGGAGTGAAAGACTGTAGCTCTGCCCTCCAAGTAATCTAGGCTCTCGTGTATTCTGGAAGAGAAAAAGACAGCTGCTTTCCAAAGGCAAACCTGAAAAACAAACAAACGAGCTTGAAAGGATATTGTTGTTAAAACTGACCTACTTGGATGCTTTTGCCAAAAGCACTTGATTTCCTGTCATTTTCTAACTATGAGACTACCAGCAACGTCCCATTACTGTCCTGGCTGCTGTCACCTCCTGAGAGCAGCCTGGAGGAAGGATGCTGGGGACCGGATAAATGCATATTTTTAAGGACTGAATGGTGCCATTCTTCCCACAAGATGGGACCAGTTCTTCGGGGAGAGGGGAAAAATGTGATTTTTATTTGTCTATTCTTAACCCTCTTGGTCCCTGCTCAGACTCACAGCATGGTTCCCAGACAGCGGTGGCACTACAGCTGAGCGGGGAAGGGTGGATGGAGGATGCTCAACTGCTCACTGTGCTCATTAGATGGGAATGAAATATTGTTTGCCAGGTTTGAGGGTATGGATAATGATTACAAGAAATAATCTGAATATATATATTGAAAAAGAAAAGATATATCTATGTATAATTATATAAAATTCCCGCTGGAGGAACAAGCCAGTCCAGTGGGATTCTGTGGCAGAGGAAAGATGGGTTTCTTGGGATTCCTTTCCTGCAGCTAGCACAGGTGGCTGAAGGATTACGGAAACCTAAGCTAGTTTTAAGCAAGCCTGTGTTAAAAGAGGCTGCTTAGTCCAGCCTAGCAAAGCCTGCTGCAGAGCACTGCAAGAACACATTAGAGTCCCTTTTCACATAAAGATATTTACATGATATTGAATATATACAAACATTCACTGGGTGAAGATGGTCAATAGCCTTTCCTTATATTTGTGCAAACATTGGTGAACGCTCTGATTTTTTTATATTAAGCAAGCAGAAGAAGAATGGTAATTCATTCAGCCCCTTTCCAGCCATTTTTACTCCCACATTTGCTTTCACAGAGTTTACTCACGCTGCCTTTTTTTGCACCTGGTTCCTTCTTTGGGGACAGTGTTGCCTCTATTTTAGTCCCCGAGTTTTCTTTCCAGTTAATGAATTCAAATATAGCAGGAAAAGGAGCCCAGTTAGTTTAATTTACATCAGAGTTAAGCCAGCCTAATGTGTGGGTGGTTTTTACTGTTTTGCCTAGGTACGATTTAGCGTGGGTGTGAGTTTTCAGACCCCCAATAAGCAGTAAAAGCCTTGCAGGCCTGTACTGGGCACTTAAAAAACACCACTCTGGCTTTTAAAGGATGTCAGCATCCATTAAATATTTAATTTTAAATACATTAAAACTATGCTTTCACTTATCTTTCACTCTTTACATCCAATGATGGGTGCAACTGCACCCCTCCAGCTGCAATCGCATGACAGACGTTGCATGGAGAGGGCTCAACACGAGCGTGAAATGGGGCTGCAGGCATCTCCCAAGCAAGGAGGGTGCTGCTGGCATGGGGTGACACGGGGGGACACAGCTGGGGGACACAGCCCACCTGCGGGTGTCTGGGTGGGTAGCGTCGCTGCTGAAGAGGTATTCGGCCTCCTGACGGTTGGCAAGGACCCCACCACCAGCTGCTGTGGGAGGAAGAGGGGATGAGGTGGACACCCTTATATGTTCCCATCCCAATGCGCCCAGGGGGACTCAAGGTGACCCAGGATGGAGCCAGCTGCCTGGGCTGGTTGTTGGGCTGCAGGGTTGGGCCCCAGAATGGGAGCTGTGATGGGCCCTCCCCCATGGCTGTGGGTCTCCTGCCACCCCATTGAGGGCTTTTCAGTGCAGGGACGCTGTGCCCCACACTGGGGTACTGCCACTCTCGCACTCTGTCCTGCTGTGGGGCACTCAGTCCTGCTCTGCCCCCCTGAGGGGGTGACAGGGCTGGGCCATCATTGCTCCCCAACTGAAGGGTGGCAGGGCCACATCCCCACTGCTCTGCCCCACTGAGGGGTGACAGGGCTGTGCCCATGCTGCTCTGCTCCATTGCTCATCCCCAGGATGCCGCCTCACCCCACAGCTCCCGCGGGCCCGGGCTGACGCTCTGTGAGAACCAGGCACGATGGCCGCGGAACATCGCGGCGGGAAGAGGCGGGAGGACCCCCCAGGGACGGCGGAGCCGGGAGACCCCGAGTGGCGGCG